AGCGAAGGTGTTAAACTTGGAGGCTTTGTCATCAAAGCTCTTTTGTATGCAGATGATGTCATATTACTAGCACGTGATGCCACTAGTTTACAGAAACACCTCGACACTTTGGCTAGCTTTTGTACTCAAAATCAGATGGAAGTCAATTTGGAGAAGTCCAAAGTCATTCTTGTGGGCACTAGCTCCAAGCTCTCTTTCTGTTACAAAGGATTAGAGTTGGAACAAGTGAAAAGTTACAAATATTTGGGCATTGATTTCTCATCTGATTATAGTTGGGCACTTTGTGTGCAAAAGAGGGTAGAAGCTGGTTTCAAAGCTCTATATTCATTGCTAAATAGATGTAGAGGAGCTCATCTAGTGTCTTGGAGTCTTAGTAAATTCTTATTCAGGAGCTTAGTGTTTCCCGTTATCTTATATGGAACACAAGTGTGGGGTCCTGGTTGTAAGAAGACAGGTTGGCAACGTTTGGAGAGGGTGCAAAAGATCTTCTTACAAGAAGAATTGGGTGTGAGGACCCAAACTTCTTATGCAATTCTTCTTGCGGAAACAGGTTGTCTACCTCTTGAGGCTGAAGCTCTCTTTTTGACTATCACTTACGTCAAAAGAGTGAGATCTCTTGATGCTTCTCGACTTCCTCTTGAAGCTCTGCATGCCACACGTCCCAAGGGTTGGTTTGCAGATGTGGTGACTTGGTCTTTGAGGTGGAATGTGACGGAACTTGATTGGAATTTGCAACCTATTGCCCTACGCGAGCGTATTAGGGAGGAATTTCTGAGCATTATGTGGAGCACACGAGGCACCAAGATGCAGTTTTATCAACTTCATGTGAATCCTATGCTTGTTTATTGTGAGCAAGGATACTTACTTGCAGAGATATCTACTTCTTTACGTCATATTATTGCTAGACATAGAACTGGATCTCATAGTCTTGGGATTGAAGAAGGGCGTTGGTTGAACATTGATAGGAGTGAACGTATTTGTAGGCTATGTGATGGAAGAAAAGTTGAGGATGAAGAGCATGTATTTCTTACTTGTTCTAGGTATGTAGAGATTCGAGTGGCGCATAAAGTTGATGTCGAGAATTTCTTTTCTCTACTTCAACTCGAGCCTTATGATTTAGGTTGTTACATTAGAGATATTATTAGTTACCGTTCTAGTGCTTTGGACACTAGCTAGGGGGTTCTTTTGGTTCTCTCCTAGTTTGGAGTTGTATTGTTTGTATTGTGTTTTTTAGCCTTTTGACCCTTTGGGTCCCACGGGCTTGATCTATTTACCATTTACCATTTACCATTTACTCAAAAACTCCAACTCGAAACTTGAGAAATCCGTGAACTTCAGCACCCCAACTCCAAAATGCGTGACATTTTGCAGGCTGGAGCGCGCTACCCAACTCCACGCCCCTGCAAATTTTCAGCTTCCGAGGACACTCAGACGCGAAGAAACGATCTCTGCAAGAAACGATCTCGACCCCAACACTCGAAAACTCCAACTCGAAACTTGAGAAATCCGTGAACTTCGGCTTCCCAACTCCAAAATGCGTGAAATTTTGCAGGCTGGAGCGCGCTACCCAACTCCACGCCCCTGCAAATTTTCAGCTTCCGTGGACACTCAGACGCAAAGAAACGATCTCTGCAAGAAACGATCTCGACCCCAACACTCGAAAACTCCAACTCGAAACTTGAGAAATCCATGAACTTCGGCGTCCCAACTCCAAAATGCGTGAAATTTTGCAGGCTGGAGCGCGCTACCCAACTCCACGGCCCTGCAAATTTTCAGCTTCCGTGGACACTCAGACGCGAAGAAACGATCTCTGCAAGAAACGATCTCGACCCCAACACTCGAAAACTCCAACTCGAAACTTGAGAAATCCGTGAACTTCGGCGTCCCCGAATATATTATTAGTTATATATCCCCGAAGATATTATTAGTTACCGTTCTAGTGCTTTGGGCACTAGCTAGGGGGTTCTTTTGGTTCTCTCCTAGTTTGGAGTTAGATTGTTTGTATTGTGTTTTTTAGCCTTTTGACCCTTTGGGTCCCACGGGCTTGATCTATTTACCATTTACCATTTACCTTTTGACTCACACTTCATGGAGCCTTGATCCACATACAGCAAGTGGGCAATTAATAGAGTTGCTCAAAGACACTGCTTCTAAATTCTTTTTGCGGCACAAGGATCGAAGAGCTAGGGGGCTTCCTTGCAATGGATGGTTTGACTTGGATTGTAAGCAAGCGAGGATGAGATCAGTTGACAAGTCTTTGGATTTCCAAAGTCGGCTTACCTTGACAAGGCTTTACAAAGACTTGGTGAAGTCTAAAAAAAGAGCCTTTTTGAGGACGAAGCAGGAATCCTTGACAAAGGAGTTGATGGAGAATCCCAAATCCTTTTGGAGACGGTTAGCTGTAAGGTCTTCAAAACCTACTCTTGATCCCAAGAGTTTGATTGACTTTGCTGAAAAGCTTTATTTCTTTCCCAACGCTGCATCAATGCCTTGTTGTGAAGGAACATCAGGCTTATTTTCTGAATCAGAGGTGATGACTCAAGTTAGAAAATTAGCAAATGGTAAATTGGAGGATTTGGATGGTCTCTCTATTGAACTTTTGAAGTGGGGAGGAGATGTCTCTCTACTTAGCTCTCTGAAAAGCTTGAGCCAATTCCAGATTGGAAACCTGAAGTGTTTCATCCAAAAACTTCGTGACAACACTCTTGACATCTTCATTCTCTATTTCAGGTAAACCTGAAATTCTCACATTCTTCCTACTTGCAAGCTTATTGGACTTTTCAATCTCTTGTTCTTGACAAAAAGAGATTTGAGCAACCTTTGTAGCTTCAGCGTAGGATTTGATCTTCAAATCTAAGCTTTCCACCACCTCATGCAATCTAGGACTATCCGCACTTGTCATCTGAGAGCATACCTTCCCTTGGATGTCATCCACAGATTTAGACACGTCCCACATCACAGACACACTATCCTTGAACACCTTCTCCACGTTCTTCTGTGATACTTTTAACTCTCGAATTTGATTATGTGCGAGAGTTAAAGCAGCTTGTTGCATCTTGAATTCATGTCGAAGTTCCTTCAATTCTTCAAAAATTGTTTGCAGAAGCTGAAAAATATCGTCTTGAGAAGCCATATCGTATCAACTTCGGTATGGTAATGGTAAATAGATCAAGCTCGTGGGATCCAAAGGGTCAAAAGGCTAAAAAACACAATACAAAGAATCCAACTCCAAACAAGGAGAGAACCAAAAGAACCCCCTAGCTAGTGTCCAAAGCACTAGAACGGTAACTAATAACATCCCTAATGTAACAACCTAAATCATAAGGTTCAAGCTGAAGCAAAGAATAAAAATTCTCAACTACAACCGAAACAACTCTAAATTCTAAGTCGAAACACCAAAAAATATCGTAACTTCTGACTCAAGCGTCTGTTCATCTTCAAACTTTTTGAGCTTCTGCCGAATATCAATCCCCAAGTCCTCAAAAATTTTCAGCCTCAGATCATGCTTCGTCGAAAAGATAAAAATGTCTGAACATTTTTGTGACCACCTAAATATTCAAAACAAAAAGTCAAAACTCGAAATGGTAATGGTAAATGGTAAATAGATCAAGCCCGTGGGACCCAAAGGGTCAAAAGGCTAAAAAAAACACAATACAAACAACCAACTCCAAACTAGGAGAGAACCAAAGGAACCCCCTAGCTAGGGCTGTAAACTCTGACTCAAGCGTCCATTCACATTCAAACTTTATGCTTCTGCTGAATATTGATCTCCAAGTACTCAAAAATTTTCATATTCAGATCATGCTTCGTCGAAAAGATAAAAATATCTGAACATTTTTGTGACCACCTAAACACTCGAAACAAAAAGTCAAAACTCGAAATGGGCTGTAACTTCGGACTCAAGCGTCCATTCATCTTCAAACGTTTTGAGCCTTTGCCGAATATTAATTCCCAAGTCCCCAAAAAATTTCAGCCTCAGATCATGCTTCGTCGAAAAGATAAAAATTTCTGAACATTTTTGTGACCACTTGAACACTCGAAACAAAAAGTCGAAACTCGAAATGGGCTGTAAAATCTGATTCAAGCGTCTGTTCAACTTCAAACTTTTTATGCTATTGCCGAAAATTGATCTCCAAGTGCTCAAAAATTTTCAACCTCAGATCATGGTTCGTCCAAAAGAGAAAAATGTCTGAACATTTTTGTGACCATGTGAAACACTCGCAATTGACACTCTTTGTTGAAGAAATTCGTGAACTTCGGCGTCCCAATTCCAAAATGCGTGAAATTTTGCAGGCTGGAGGGCGCTATCCACCTTCGCGTAACTGCAAAATTTCAACCTTGATGGATCTTCCGACGCGAAGAAACGATCTCTGCAAGAAACAATCTCGACCCCAACACTCGAAAACTCCAACTCGAAACTTGAAAAATTCGTGAACTTCGGCATCCCAACTCCAAAATGCTTGAAATTTTGCAGGCTGGAGCAAGCTACCCATGGAAACCAATACAGTTCTTGTTACATGGAAGCCATACGATTGATATGTTCCATCTTGAGAAGAACATGTCAAAAATCCTTGTAACATCCCATAATTAATGCATTCTCGTCGAGGACTTTCTACACAGGTCGTGTTTCAAGTTGGACGCATTTACTAGAAAAACGAGTACGTTATAGACCCAGATCCTATCGACCTGGGAACGGATTCTAATCGCTTCACACAACTTGTGAGCCTCACACAGTGGAGCATGATGAAACTAATGGACTGCCTGTAAGTGATCGAGAATGAGCCAAAGTGAACATCACCGTTACGATGCTAAAAAATATTACCGGCCCAGCTTCGTCGAGCTTACATATATTCTTTGATTTTGACGTTTTCGACTCGATCAGGCTGGACAGGACGTAGAACCCATGTGACGTCATACAAAGAGTTGGAGACCTCACCATAAGCCAGGATAGTCAATGCGAAAGTGGGTTGCGCACACCAGCTGCACGAATCGTCGACATTCCGAATGCTGAGCATGGTGGGAGCACCATGCTCAGACATTGTGGCCTATATCCATTCTCTACGAGATTAACAACGGAGCACTGCGCCTTCGGAGTGCCTTCAGTTTTCACTGCCTGAGATCAAAGATGCACGAAGAATTGCATTCAAGCCCCCATGCTGAGCTATTGCAATCGACAATCAGAAGAAGCCCCACAAAATTGACTTTCACTCCGGCACGGGATGTGTAACAAGCAGAGTCCACGGACAGCTAAGTATGTACAACTCCGCGTTCCTTCACTAAAGCCATCATTGAGCGAGTGGTATATGTGCGGAATCATCCGCAGCGGCTATCTACCTTCGGCATTAGGAAAGGCCGATGTTGCGAAAGCTTGCATCTGAACTCACGACAAGTACCCTGGTTCTTTCGAGCGCTACTATGGTTGCTGATGCTCAAAGTCGATAGGGATGTTTGAACTGTTCGAAGAACTACGAGCTTGTGCTCATCTGGATCCCATAGCCAGAAGGCCCTCATGGAGGGAAGAAGAAACGAAATTTCTCAAGGGAGCGACCACGATTAGCAGGGTGAGAAGATACATCTATGAAAAGTAGAATAGTGGAAACGACCTTCGTGCAGGCAAGAATGGACACAAACCTTCGTCATTGCCAGAGTGCGTAGTCTCATCGTATTCAGGAGGGAGAGAGGGAGGAAGAGCAAACCGGGGGTCGACATGACGTTCTGAACCTCTTAGACAAAATTGCATTTAGATTGATGAAGAATATTCACAATGGGCTGATGGCATGCTTCAATCCAGCTGCAGCAGCAACTGCACCGTTCAACATAAACAGACACTTTAATGTCTCGCATTCAACTATGATTCAGACTCATGACAACCTTCTTCTTCACTGCACTGCACTGTATGGCGTGCCAGTGGCAGCCACACTAGAAGCACGTCCTACGAGGTCCACCTTCTGATTCTCTCCACCGTCCTTTCCTTTCTTCATCTATCCTCAGCTCCGTATCCTGACTAATAAAAAAAACCGGACACGGTGCAGGATTCTGCTCTCCGTTGAAGTCGAACTCGAAGTCGTAGTCGCAGGATTCTGTGCTCAAACGAACTCGACCATTCAGAAGCATAGGGAGTTGCTGCGGACCGTCGAGCTCTTGACAATTGTTAACCCAAGAGCCCGGGGAGAGGCCAAGGTACCAGACAAGAACGCAAATGCGAAGAGCAATAAGCCCTTCGTTTCATTTCGGCAAATAGAAAGGAGAATGGGCGAGAGATGATGCTCGCCAGGACGATAATACCCACAGAGCAGACAGGGACAGTCCAGAGCTGCAAATGATTCGGTAACTGGGAGAAAAATTGGGGAGATGATTATGGTGAGGGCCAGAACCACAGACTGATCCGGACATCTTCACCACAAATGCATTCCTGTGACCCGGAAGACAGGTGGAGGAGCTCTGAAAGTTGGGGGTTCTCTGAATGACACCGACGCCGGATTTCTGTCCACTGCCAGTGGGAACACATGCCTGACCTTGAGGTCCGCAGCATGGTTGGCAGATTTTGCCCTCCTCATGTTCCTACGCTCCTCGGAGTTCATATGCTGGTTCCTGTTGTGGCCCGGGAGCAGAGAAGCAATGTCTGCTCCTTTGAACAAACGTTTCAGCCAGTCGAGGCCTCCCACCATGGGCCCGCAGTGCAGATCTTCCAAGCGGATGGTAAACTCCGACGAGTCCAAGCTCCTCCTCTGCTGCTGGGGCTGCATATGGACCTGCATTGTTCTACAAACTGTCGATGATATCCTCGAAGGACAACTAGATGGTTCGCTTTCTCGGCTTCTTATAAGAATGATAGCAGGGTGTGGGAGGGAGGAAGATGCTTGCGATCAAATGATTGTCACTGCATGCTGCCCGCTGCTTGACGACACTAGTCCCAAGCTCCTGGCACACTTTCTCTCCACTCTCGCTCTCTGCTCGGCGTCTGATGATGTACGGAGGACTCCGGAGTAGTGGATCCCCTTTCTAGTGTAGAGGGACCGTGAGCAGGCGGTCTGAGAGCTGTGCTGCTGGAGCCTGGGGCAAATTTAGCCGGCCTGTCTGAGAGCAGGAACGGTGGGGGGAATTTAAGAGACGCGCTAACATTGGGTGGGTTAGGGGCCAAGACAGCAGATGGTAGAGCGATGAATTGGAAAAGAAGGGGAAGGAAGCAAAGGAATAAAATCGTATCCACAAAATTCCAGCTTCTCTGGAAAGGCACATGGAAGGTCGAAGGGCTCAGGATAAACTAAGCTATCTATAGCAGCTGCATGCTCCGGGACCCACCCGTTTACCAGCACGTTCTCGTCCTTCTTTCATGCTGCTGCAGTTCTCTCTGGATCGAGAGACAGACAGTCACTGCCAATCGAGGACTGCAAGTGATGATGAGATGAGAATGAGATCATGCAGATTTTACACTTGTCTCGTCCAATAATCGTGTTTCCATGGCAGAGCGCGAGTCCACTCTCCCCACATTTTGTTACTGTAACTCTTGCCCGAGAGGTGTAAACAACGTCGGCGCTGACCAGCTGTAGCTCACTAACCTGGTAGATCATGTAGCTCTGCCTCACTTGTGACGCTTTGTCGATAGGGAATTCAGCGTAGCTCTGAAGTGGATGGCTAACTGTTTTTCTTTTTCGATGTTCTTTCTTGGTTTCACCTTTCATGGGCAACTTTAGATGTTACTCAGTTCTTGTAAAACTTGGTTCAGAATGCAACTTGTATGCTTATTCTGGCCTCTTTTTAACCAATCGTTCACAGTCTCAAACAAGATGGCGTGCTTTTGAGCGAGTCACTACCATAACCTTACAAATTCTGCAGATTGGCTTTTTCTATACGTACAATGAACGCGGTTGAGAATGGATCATTTCTTGCTCACGTTCGTGGATCATGGAATGCGATACTATCTGAAAGGAAGTAGGCCCGAGTGCATTGTACTTCTGAAATTTTGGAGGTTCGTAAGTTTGAAAGATGTTTCTAAAACGAAGAAAAGCAAAAGAAAAAGAAGAGAGCTTCTGTAAGCTTTAGATTTCATTGGTAAATGGTAAATAGACCAAGCCCATTATTGTTTGTTTGACCTTAAAGCATAATTATCCCCACAGGTCTAATTTTGAGGTTCGGGACATGGATCAATATGCTAGTACCAAATTTATCTTGTGAGCCCCGTCGTTTCATTCATTAAAGCAGACTCTTGACGAGAGCTCCAACGAAAGATCAAACCATGGAATGATTGAGAAAGAATGTTCACATATTTTGAGGATTGTGATATGCCGTTGATAGTTCTCGGCAGCAAATTTTGATGTGGATTGAACGAGCAAGAAATTCTTTGGATTACAGTATATCGATAATACGGAAGGAAGTAATGGCTTAAGACTCTGATACTACCACTTGATTGAAGAAGTGTGTGTCATCGAATATTCAGTGTAAAGACAAATGCATTTCAAAACTTTACCTACAATCCAGAGAGAATGGGACATTCTTTCAGGCTTACGCTTAGTCTAGGGATGATAGACGTTGTTCCGACAAAGCTACAATATTTCAGAAGGATTGAACTTTCAGCTGTGACATGATACTACGGATTGTAGTGGTAATCATACAAAGAGCAGGATGTAAGCCCTACGCAGATGCCCTTTTTCAATGAATATTTATTCTCTAATGACATGTAGCTGTCCTCAGAGTTTGAGCAAAGAGAGCACATGACAGCTCCCTGACTCTGCTACATTAACCATCATACTTATCCACCATAGAATAATTACCCATTTGGGATGTGATGTATCTTCTTGTTGGTGTGAAAATGACTTTCAACAACTAATTTGTACCGAATGCTTTAAATTTAAAGAACACTGAAGTGAGGGAAACAGTTCTATTTGTTAAATCATAACATCCAAAAGAATCCAGATCTCAGAAAATATGTATTTATCCCCTGTAAAACTTTGAACATCAATCTTGTGATTCTTGTGATCTTGTGAATCCATGGTTTGCAGTTTCTAGCTGGAATGGGTGAAGTGATTTGTCCGAGCTAATGCATGGTCAAGATGCAAAATTTGGAAAAGCATAATCATTTTGTGAATTTCAAAATTAATATATTTTCATGGTCTGAAAACCGACCATCAACATGATTGATGAGAAATACAAAGGCGTTCCTCAATAAGCAGGCATGATCTTCCTAGCCTCTTAAATATCGTTCAATCGTTTACAAATGTGTTGCCCAACGTTTGTGGTAACTTGGTGCACAATTATCTCTCTTATTTGACAAGTAGAAGTTTGAGATGCAGTCTAAACCTAAATTACTAGTACCTAGATCTTTTGGTTACGAACCCAACAAGATTCAAACGGAAGAGACGTGCACGAACAAGTGACAAAGCATAGACAATATCTACTTTTCATTCCTACTTTGGGCACTTTTCGACCTCAATATAAGTTCAAGCCTTCAGATGGGCAAGAACTAACGGCATGCTAAACCTAACAATTGTCTGTTTTGTTTGTTTCGAATTTCAAGACGTCGGTTCTTACAGTCGACAAAGAATCGCATTCGTTTCGTAATCAAAATCGAATCTTTCTATATCAAGCTCCCTTTGGGTGGTGTAGGTGATTAGTGATCGAAAGCTTCCCATAGGAGTCTGCGCTAAGACCGATCAACACATAACTGAAAACTGCTAATATTTAGCCCAAGATATTCTGGACCACTGTCTCATGCTTTGCTCTGTTAATTCAGTGAGATCATGCACGACTCAAACACTCAGTGGCTCTAGTATACTGGACATGACGCAATGTACAAATGATCGGCCTCATGCCTTACTTTCAGGTAGCCAGTGCTGCAGCTGCTGAACCACGACATTCCCTCTCTCGCCCCAAAGTTGGCAGTTTGTGAGGAGATCATGCCATGCCACGCCTCTTCTCTGCCGGCCAGCTAACCCCTCTCCTTCCCTCCCTCTTCCCAAGTCAATTCAATTCTCAGGAAAGCATGCCCGTGCTTTCAGATCTGTCTCTTGCAGCTGAGCTTTTGCTGCATCGCGTACAAAACTGGACTTTTGAGCTGAGGACTGTTCAGTCCGACGTATGGTATTAGAATGCCTGGAGCTGTAAATTCGCAAAGGCAGTTGGAGGGAGGGAGAAAATGAATGGAGAGGGAACGGAGGACTAGAGATGAGAAGAATTAACTTGTGGGAGAAGAAAGGGAATGAAAAAGAGTGAGTAGGAAGAAAACATGTGGCTCTCGCGCTCTTGAATTATCCACTAATCATGATTCATTACTAGCGTCATATTCTGGAATGTGCTCCACTTCTGAATCTCGTCCATCCGTCGGTCTCTCTCCTCTCTGACACTGGTAACACTGTTCTGTACGATCAAATCTTTGCGTCATCACGAACTTTGCAAGAGATTTGTCCGTCATCAAAAGTTTTCTTTTAATGATAGGGGTCAAGACTTTCATCTGTTCCGTCTGTCATTCACTTTGCACTCGGGTGTATATGGTTGATTATATGTGAGCACAGTTGGACTCTTTAGTATACATAATCTTTGCAGCATCGTAACATTACCAACCTCTGTTGCTTTCTCAACTGGAGGTTGTTCATATCTTTTCTTATACACGAGTATAAAAGTGTGTTACATTGTTACATGAGCACCTTCACACTAAAGTTCGTTTCCACCTGTAGAATGCTTGATATTATGCAATGGAATTTTGAGCTTTATGGACTTTCGAACATCAAAAGGCATCCAGCAACCAAGCTTAAGTCATGTCTCAACTTTCAGGTCCATGGCTCTTTCTACAGTTACTGTTATGATTTTGGAGAGTCCAGGATCATCTTGAAAAGTTGCTGCAAAAGCAGAAGGCATGCAGTTTCATATAATCATTGATTGGATAAATCTCAGTATCTACAGTAAGATGAAACCTAGAAACATGCCCTTTTGTCGATATAGATAAATGCAAGTCAACCAACGTTGTAACCCTGCTTTGTCAATCGGCTCTATAATCTGCTGGGGTCAATGTCATCGGACATGGTACCACTAATTTAGTGGTCGCTATCTGCTTGTTGAGAGCATCCTGTTCAACTTAGTGGATCTAGAAACCTCTTGATAGAATCCATGTTGCCGAAAAATTGTCATTATATCATGTCGTTCTCATGTTGGGAGTCCCAAAAGTATGTACTCCAGGCTCTGAAGCACTTGGTTACACTGTTGGTTATATATTGGACCTCAATAGTGAACTAATGAAGTCAACAGCTTTTCAAAAAGATACTTGCCTCAAACATGACTAAGGTTGACTGTCGTTGTTCGGACACTTGCAAACAGCTCCATCTTACCAATATACTTGACGATCTTCTAAGTTCAGTGGCCAACTCTGTCGGCTGAAATATGGTCAACCTTGTGGATCTGAAGAATCCCAGGTTTCTTCAAATTGGTACAGTAGCGTCTTCATCCATATCGTGCCAACTTTTACCCTACAGTACAGTCGACTATAGCAAAGAACAGTTCTGCAGTGCTGCAGTGATGTGACCTTCTTTCAGATTAAATGGACTAAAAGTCCTTCCTGCTTTAGTGATCTGAAGTACCTTCTAAGATACATAAGTGCAGTACGTGTTCCATGCATGCCCTTTTAAATCACTCAAAACTGAAAACGGGTAACTACAAAAACCATATATAAGAATCTTCGTCACCTTAGTACACATATGATGTCAACTCTGAGGAAAAGGGTGACAGTCTTATAAATTTCTTGGATCTCAATGTGACAGTCGAGCTCTGGCAATATTATCTACTGTGTCTACACGAATGGGCATCGTTGTATGATCGCAAGGACGGGGGCTGTGGGATATGTCCACATGGTAACGTACTCTCGTGCCTCCTTCCGAGTACGCCTCACTGGCAGTGAAATACGCAGTCCGTGGGTGGACCAGCACGGTTAGCCACCACTGGGCAAACGTACTGTGGTTGGCTTCGTACATAGTCGGTGAACATCTGGACCAGAGCAACAGGCAGGAGCTTTTGATTCTGTTACTCATTTTGCTGCTTCTTCTGCTGCTTCTGACGCCGCTGATCTGTTCGATTCCCGTGAGCTCAAGCGTTTCCTTGTTTGTTGCTCCATTTTGCAGACAGGATGACTTGGGCTCGCTGGCGGATGAGATGTATTTTGGCTCATTTTAATTCTTTCCATGCACTACATCGCAAAGGCAGCTGCTGTACAAGTAGAGTAGTTGGTGCTGGAAGACCCAGGAGATCGGGGTCTTGTAGCTGGTCGCGTACTTTCCCGCTGCGCATGTTGTTGTGACTGGACATGACATTACTTTAGTCGTGATAGGCTACTGGCGAGCCCAATGATGGCGGCTGAAAATATGTTTCTCACGCTTTGCATGTCTAGGCAGTGACAGCAATGTTTATTCAAAACATACTTATAAATCCGAGGTATGACTGCAGAAAAGAAAGTAGTTGACACGTTCTCAAAGTTTACTCAATTGTTGCTCGGCCTCTCGTGGGAGCATTTTTTTGTGAGTGAGCTCCACGCTCCTTGAAAGCTGTGGATCCCAAT